GTAGGCATAGTCGCAGAATAAATACCAATTGATACCATGGAAAGTAGAAAATACTTCAGATCGTGAAACAAAAAATAAGTACAGGATAACATAATTTTGCAAAACAGAATGTTCATCTACATGCAGATGTTTTATAAGAAAATTGATAGTTTTTAAAGAGAATCAGATAAAAGTTCAATTGTTTATACTATTATTGATTCCAACAAACTTATACAAGAGAAAATTCTTCACGAGAAATTTTTTTTATAAAATATTGACAAGTAGAACGATATTACTGATATTATTTAAGATCGCGTAATTTTTTTGATTCTGAAAGTACTTTCTATTTTTTTCGATATTATCCGTTGTTATTATTATATAGATTGAAACAGTTTCGCTATACACAAATACGGAAAACATTTGTTACAGCGTGATACCTTCCAAAGGACGTTTGATTTGAAAATGCATCAGCATTGTGAAATTAAGGGCATGTACGAAATTGTTGATGAGTTTGAAGATAATTGAAGATTAGTTCTAATGACACTCAGATCTGATCTCCTTCGAAAATTTTAAGCTTTATCGATGGTTTTAATTCATTTAGATTTTAATTCATTCTGTGCATTTTGTTCTTGAAGGAGAACATAACTCATACCAAACATCTTGTACCATATTTTGAATATGTAGAATGAGATTCATGTCTGTATATATAGTGTGCATATTAATTCTTAATAAGTCATTGAAATTTAATATTTCTTCATTCAATTTTAATGTGTATAGCTCTATATTAAGATATCAACATAACAATTGAGATATTAAATTCTTGCAACTAATAGCGTTATATGAGCATCAACTGTATTAGCTGCAATTAAGAGAATAGTTTCATTACAATTTTCTGTGACAATGCTGAAGTATTTTACATCGAATTGAGTGTAATTGCCTGAGAGTGAATGAGCTAACATTTATAGTCAATACATGCTCATAAAACTCATTTGTAGCATGAGATAATATCGTACAATAGATAAATATTTTCCCTATTATTTTATTAATATTATTTTATTATTGTTACTTTATTATTATCATCGCTATTATTATATCAACACAAGACATAAAATGTAAAATTTCATTGAGATAGATATAGCGATATCTTTCTAATAAATAAATAAATAATCGTAATGCATTATACGTAATGTGAATAATCGAGTCATAAAAAAAAACATTTTTGATTATTATACGAGTATTGAGTTTTATTTTTAAATTTAAGTAATAATATACAAAGATATTTTGTATTTAAATCGATTGACTGGAGTAAATGATGTAAGATGCTACCTGCATCACAAATTAAAACTTAAAGGAAACAGCTGAAATTGTTTAATCCAATACATATTGATAAAATAATAAAAATGAGAAATGTTAAATTATGAACGAATTTTGATCCAGTTTGCCGATCCTTTTAAATGATGCATATGTCAAATTTTACTGATAATTTGTGTACTTGATCAATGCTGCATTGAAAAGTATATTTTTTGTACATATATTATTATAAATAATAAATAAGAAATAGACAACAAACACGGCAAATGAGAAAATTATGAATAAAATCTGTTCGAATCGTATAGTCTTCCTGTGATATACATATTTTTTTTTTTAAATTGCAGGTTTATGGATGAATAAGGAAAAATGCGAAAGTATAAAGATCATTCTTTTATATCTTTCTCTCTCTATACAAGTACGTATATACGTTGTGCTTCAACTGACATTTTGACAAAAACGTGATGTGTTGTTTAAATGTATATGTATATATGTGTACATATATACATATATAAACAAACACTTCTGCTACAATGTATAATACCACACAGTAACAAACTATATCCTGCCAGTTGTAATACAACAAAAATTTATAGCTCTTATGCGCATAGTTTATATCAGGGCCGTGCAAAGAGCCTTGGTACCATAACAAGGAAGCTCTTTATCTATTTACGAATTTAATATTCAAGAAGCTTCAAGAGGATTAAAAAGATGTAATATAAATTTATAACATTATATTACATTTATTATATATTATTCATTACATATAATTATAAAATAATACAATTTATAACTAGTACAAATAGAAAATAGTAACATTTTTGACGGAAATTTCGGAAAATTTCCTCAATAGCGAGGGCGTTGATATATTCTTTGCACTCTTGATTTGCACGGCTCTGCTTTATATACTTAAATCTACACAGTGTATACATGTAACAAATGTTTTTACAATATTACAGTCCGTACGTATATATTTATAAGAAATAACCAGTGTATAATATACAAATGCATTTGTGTTCGCACCCGTAGAATCTTATTTCGTAGGCGAGAACGAAGTTGGGCTTAATATTCGCGATTGCATTTTTCTTATCAAGGGTACAGTGTAAGCCACATACTCGTCCCATCCAGGTTGTCTCCAGGCGCTCTCGCGCGTTTCCTGACGTGACTTAAGATTCTTGTAACCTGAGAGGCAACAAAATATTTGACATGTAAGATGAATGAGCGTAATGTACACAAACGCAACATAAACGATATACAATTTTACTTACACCAAATATGATGAACATTGTATAATCTGCCAATTTGTGAGAAGTAGCCAGCAAACGGTTCATTGTTGTTACGTCTGTAATTAATAGCCTTCGCCCAATTATTTCCCCATTCTATCATTGTGCCTGGTTTTAAGGTATAACTACGTATCTCATATTTGTTCGAGCCGTTTCGTTTCTCCAGTGGTGGCCAATAACTAAACGCCAATAGATATTGTAAATGACGTGATCTCAAATAATTCCCTCGTTCTTTGAGCAATCGTTGATAATCCTATGGAAATTTTTTAACAATTTATGATTGCTCCATTATGTCTAATATTTTTATGTATTATTTATATAGTTAGCAGAATATTTTATACCTCATCTTCAGAAAGCACTTTCTGTGTATAATCTACATGTTCATATCCACCTTTATATTGCCACAAATGTAAAGCTTGATCCAAGTCTCCCACTTCTACTGTCCATGAAGCCATTAATTCGCAATTCAATTCAGATTTCGAATGTATAAGATTGACATTTTCCTCACTGGAATGACACAAAAAGAAAGAAGCCGATCATTTAGTATCGCATATCATGATTTGTTTAAAATTTAGCAAAAAAGAAATTATATTAATATCTACTCTTTCTTTGATAATCACTATTAAATCTAGAAAAGTCATCATAAATTATTCTGATCATACAGAATATTTTTTTAAAATTATTTTTAGAAATTGAATTTTCAATTGTATCAATGAAATGAAATCAAACCTTATGTGAACTTTTTTTTTATAAAATAACATAGATAAACATTTGTTTCAAAATTAGTAAGAAATTAAATTTTAATACATTTTTTCAATAAAAAGAAATATTACACAGATGATATATATATCTAGTAATATTGGTTTGTTTAAGCCAGAAAGAATCAAATATTAATATATCTTAAAAATATAAAACAAAAATTATATAAATTATTGTTCAGATATCAATTACACGCTAAATATTTCTTAAGGACAAGGATTGTCTAATATTTCAAAAGCAGAATTTTAAAATTATTTTTGACCTGTAAAGTTTTGAGATCAAAATTCATAAACTTTTTTTCATAGGTAACCTCAAAAAAAATATTTCTAAAATATTATAAATACTTGAAAAATATTCAACATCACGTGATAAAAATAATAGTTTGTGATAAAATATAAATAAATAAGCTCTAATTACATTTCACAAAGTGACAGTGCCGATATTTGCAAATGTTAACAAAAATATGTGACAATAAAATAAAAAATGTTGCACGCGGTTAGGAACGAAAATCAATTCTATTGCGGCTCGAGTTTATAGGTCAGTGAACCACCACGCACTCGGATGCAAGGTCACAAAGATGTCGACTCACTAGTTGGCCAAATATTTGTCAATCGAGTCTGGCCGTATGTTTTGTGTGTGCAGCGCATAAATGATGTCCTTGTCGGAGAGCATCCGCGAGTGCGACTCCTTCGTGGGCTCGATCTTCCTTACCAGAAGCTTTTTCAGCCATCCCTCGCTGATGTCGCATCGGACCGACGATCTTGTCAATGACCTACGGAACGGAATACAGCGATTACTCGACCCGTACCAAGGCTGTAACGGTGGATAGGTCGCGGACTCTCCGGATACGATCGGCTCGCTCGCGCCGAAAGAGAAAAGAAAGTCCGCAACTCGTTTCGCGCTTACCGTGCGGCTACGTGCAACGGTAAACCCCCGTTGCCGCCGAGCGCGTTCGCCACGAGACGGAATTCTCTTCTCAAAACAGCGGCCATTTCTCACTGGGCCCCCGCGCGCGCGGATCTCCACTGCCGGCCTGCGTCCGTAACGAACTCGTGATTCGGCCCTGGATATTCGACGATCGTAACGGGGCGCGCGGCGCTCCCGACGAGACTCTGCGGAAAACCGCCAATTCGCGCGGTCGGTTTATTTATATTCGTAATCTCCATGCGTGGCTCGCTTTTTTCTCTCTCTCTCTCTTTCTCTCTTTCTCTCTTTCTTCCTCTCTAGCTTCCTAAAACTTAGGATCATCGAGAGCATTCCCACTTCGATGAATGTAGATAAATACTTGAGGGATATGCGCACGCAACGCGTAAGCGGCGACTTTAAAGCCTAGTTTATAATGGCTTTAAGACATTCTCCTCAAATTCTTTCACAATTTCTTCCACGATTTCCTCTTTCCGTTTAATTTTCGAATAACGAAAGAGTTAATTGCTTTTTGAAGAGAAACGAGAAACAAAGGATTTATTGAGAAAGTGTAGAAAAATTGGAAGATTAGTACATATATGCACATTGATTACTTACTAAATAAAATCCGTCTCAATTTTTTTTCTCATTCCGTCTCATTTTTTTTGTACTTCTAGATGCAACTAGCGAGATTTGAAGTACAAACATCTGTTGAGAGCTTCGCAAAATTCTAAATCCAGATAGTACAGCAATACCAAAAAAAAAAAATACGTTTTAAATTCCTGAAATGTATTCTTCTCTAATCTCGATTTTAATCTAAAAATATTTTTTTAAAATATATTTTAAAGTTCCACAAGATTTCATTTTTGTCCCATTCTAAGCACCTTTTTAGATAAGATAACAGATCTTTCTGTAATCTATAAACATTTTCAATAAAATCGAAATAGATAATATATCAGCAAATACAAATGTATCTCTCAAAAATAATAAGTGTCTAAATAAATTTTTACACAGTTAAATCAAATGTACTATCAAAATGCTTCATTTATCTTGGAGATCAATTTCGTTAACTTTGCGATTTGTTACATTTTAATTAATTAAATTATTCAGTGAACTCAATTAATTCGCATATCGTTCCTATTTGCAGGAGTGCCAACAGCAAATTAGATTGTCGATGTGCTTTAACTTAATATTCTTTTCGTGTCGTAAAATTGTAAATAATATATAATAATTAATATAAATAAAAGTTATTAAAAAAAATCAGAAACAGATTATGAAACACAAAAACAGATTATCAGAACACTTTTTTTTCAATATAATACTGTTTAATTTCCAGTTTAGTCTTCATTGGCAATTACGATGATTTGAATTAATTGTCGATAGCTTAAATCGAAGCTTATCGATCGACTTTCACCGAAGGTTGGTCGAACTTCCGATGGACGGAATGGAATGGTCGAGTGTCTAGGGAATTTTCTTCGCTCTCCGTTGGCGAGGCACGCCGAGCCATTATTGATTCTCGGCTAACTTCTCTCGCTTAGAAGCTTCGCGAAGGAGGGAGTAACACCAATTGCAGCCGGTGTTACCTTCTCGAAAGAACGCTTTGAAGATACTGACCGGTGCCGCTGTCGTCGCCATCGTCGCTTCGTTCGCCGGTACACGTTACGGTGGAACACGCACTGTGTCCTTGATTGGGCCTAGTTTCGTTATTCGGAGGCATATCGAGAACGCACGCATACGTCCGCGCTGTCACACGAAACGCGAAATAAAGAAGAACAGTCGAGCGTCGAGGTGGGTGTCTCAAGTCGATCTGTCAATTTTTGTCCTTTGAATGATGATGACCGCCGCACGGTCGGTCGGTCGGTCGGTCGGTCGGTCGGTCGGTCGGTCGGTCGGTCGGCCGGCCGGCTGGGAAGCGAAAGAACGTCGTCGGTCATCGCGTGAGCGTTCGCGCCGATCGCGTACCTTCTCGCGCTTCTTTCTTGCGGCTTTCCTCGCTTGTCGCGCTTGTCGATGGGAGCCGGAGAAATATCGAGGATGTGCGAAGAGAGCGAGCTGATTTTGTTCGCGCGGCGTCTACCCTTTCTTCGGAGTACACCATGTCCCTGCGAGAGCCCAGGCACGACAAACGGGGAATAAAGAATTAGATGTAAATAATTGGAAAGAAAAGATTATCTTTGATCAACGGGAGCACACTTTAGTATCCCTTGATTTACAAGCGTGGTATCTCATAATCCATCCAAATTTAATCGAGATTAAAGTTAATCTCTAGTAAGTAAGAATCTAGTAATCTCTAGTTAATCTATATATATATGTGTGTGTGTGTGTGTGTGTGTGTGTGTGTGTGTGTGTGTGTGTGTGTGTGTGTGTGTGTGTGTGTGTGTGTGTGTGTATTAAGCTTTGGCAAAAATTGACGTAATTTATCAAGCAATATTATTTTATTAATGGGGATGAAATTTTTAATTTTTTTATTATTTAATATATAAGAAAAATAAATCGAAATAATAAATAGAAATTTTGCTTCAATTTTACTAATTGGATCAATCGTCAGTTGACTCGGAGTTTGAACGAAGTCGCTCCAAAGTAACGATAAAAAAATATTGGATATTGATTGATAAAATAATCAAATGAGATTTAGATTATATTTTTAACAGAATTGTGTTTTATCGCTCGAGCTCGCTTACAAACGCTTAATTATATTTATATTTAATTATATTTATATTTATGTATACTTAAGCATTTGGCTCTACCGAATTCGTCATATGTTAACATACGACGTGAGGTCCGATTTCCCGTACCTACCTCACGCAAAACTGAGTTCGCCACGCCACGGTCACGAAATAGTGATTTCGAAATCTATCTACAAGCTCGAACCGAGAACTTGATTAAGATTCAATTTGGCGCGATGCCAAACGGGCAATCGTCCCAGAAAATTCGAGCGAAAGACATAAAATAAGATATCGTGCTCACGAGTCGACCTGCGTAATCTTCAAGCACGCGTTTGCTTCGTCGATGTCAGTGTCACGTCGTTCCGGTGTCATTGCAAACGTATCCGCGAAAACGAGCCGTAAAAAAAAATTGCCGACAATATATATTCGCAAGTGGATGGGATTCGCACGTATATTTGCGCGAATTAATTCCGTTCGCGCGCTCCCGTAAATCGCGACCTTGGCCTTTCTTCCTCGATAATATCTCGAATCTTCTTTTACTTTCCGAGAGGTAAGTCTGTAAACTTCGGATTAAAAAAATTGAATCAGCATCACGGGAAGAAAATGCGCATACGCGACACACACACACACACACACACACTCGTGTGCAAATAAGTAATTGTCCAATTGTTGCATAAGAAATTTTTGTTACACTTGCGATTTCAGTGATTGAAACAAATCACAAAAGTTTGATTGTCCAACGGATTCAATTTATTTTGAGGCGGTCTTTTTCAGCAGAATTTAACGTAATTTTTTCGCAGTTGATCAAAAATTATAATGTGTCACTGTTAATCTTTCGCGGTTAACCGTTTCACGTAACTCTCGGCCGCCATTTATTTCCGATCTCGATTACGAAAGATCTGGATTTCATCTGGATTTCGACTCATACAAATGGAATGCGTTCATATTTTCGCGGTTCCGACGCGGCTTCTGGAATATGCACACTCCGATTTTATGCGATGCGACATCAAATCACCTATGTCTTATGACAAATGGTGCACCCCCGTAGACTTCTAATTTTGCGAACCTTCACGAATAAAGGGGGAGAGGGCATTATTTATTTTTGTATATCTGTATTCTTAATTTATTTTTTAAAATAAAATCGATATGTAGTTAATTTTTCCTTTTCTTCAAAACCATTTTTCAATACGCGTTTATTTTTCTGTCCCTTATTTCGATCAAATTGAAAATTATTTAAAAAATTAGATTTAACACATTTTCTGTCACATTTGTTTATAATTAATTTGAAAAATAAAAATTGTTAATTTGTATTTCTTATAATATTTTTCCAATGCACGTTATTTCCAAGTTTTTTTTTTTAATGTTGTGTGTTATATATTATTAATTATAACTATATTTAATTTGAGATGAAAGAAGTAAACTTTTATTTATTCTTTAAAGTATATTTGTCGGTGCTTGTTATTTTCCCAAGCTTTTCCTTCAACGAATTTCTAAATAATTTGAAACATTAAACTTTATGTATTCTCCATTATGTTTGTATTTATAATTTTTTAAATAAAGGAACTGATAATTTATGTATTCTTTAAAATATATTTTCCAATATATATTATATTCCCAAGTTCTTCCTGCAGCGAAACTTGAAATTAATTTCATAGCTATAGAATTCATTATAGTTTATTATAACGGCTACATAAAAACTTTTCCAGTGGTTGCCACGCAATAGATAATAAAGGATTAATTGAAGTTTCAAATGTGCTCGAGTTTTCCAAGACTGATGGCTGTCGATTGTTCGTTATATTATACTTAATAGATCACAGAGTGAGTTTTTTATCTCGTTACATGAATATGTTCCGCTTTTTACATGTTTACATGTTTAATATTTTTACCAAATAATTTATCCGTCTCTAAGCAAGCGTGCAATCAAAAATTAGCAAAATCGAAAAATGATGAATGATAAATGCAATAAAAAAAAGCAGAGGATGAAAAAAATAACAGAATTTTCATGTATTTCTAGAAAAATTAGTTGAATTTAATTCAAACTACACAGCATTGCTTTATGGTCTCTACGTTCAGTTTCGCCTCGATTACTTTTCGAAGATACTTTCGGGCTTTCATAATCAAATCAGAAATCGCTTTGATAATTGATGCGTGATTCACATTTCAACACCACGAGACGTTCAACGTGAACGCTTATCGTGGTTGAGAGGTCAGGTTGATTCTATTGTGCATTCCAATGTCCAACGCTTTATCTGCGAAATAGATTTATTCATAGATCAGCAAGTACATCCGGAACGTTATCGACAAACGCGTAATAAACTTATTTACAAGAATATAAAAGTTGAGAACGAATAAAAGTAAAAGAAGATACAGCGATGCCTGAAAAGAAACACAGATTAGATAATCGTCGAAAGTCAGAAAGAATCCGAAAGAAAATCGATGTAGAGCCAACGCTAATTCAACCATTAATACTTTAATTATTGTAACCTAGCAATGTGATTAATGCTTTATCACTTTATTACTTTAATCGTATTTTAAATTCGAACAAAAGCAATAATTCGATTTTTTCGAGCGCAATAATATAAATATGATCTGTTATATTTACAGTTAATACTTATTTTTTATGATTTTTCACTGATAATGAAGAAGATTGTTGTGAGAATATTTGGAGTTTAATCAATCAAATGCATACAAGCATTAAAAAATAAAAAGTGCTTTTTATTTTGATAATTCACTTCTTCCTAATGATCTTTAATTTTTTTTAAAAATATTACTTTAACTGCTATAAAATTTGTATTAAAATTTAAGAGATAAAATTATTATGCTTATATTAAAATTTTATATGTAGCGTAATACGAAACATATAGAAAAATCGAAATTTACACACGTGTAAAATATATATTGAGATATATTTAAATATGTACAATATATCAAAATATGCGGTATATAAAAATATAAATAGAATTCTGAGGGGATGTTATTCTAGCAATTCTGAAATTTATATAAATTACAGAACATCCAAAAGAATGCAAATTTAAACTTCGTAAAGTTGAAAAAAATTTAATTGTTACGACAAATATTAATATGTAGCCTTATATTCAAACAAAAAAACAACATCCAAAATCATATAAATAGTTTTAAATATAAATATAAATAGTTTTAAAATATGAGTGAAACAATTTAAACATAAAAATTGCACGTGGTTGAAATACCTCCAGATTTGCCTGGATCAATGGATAACTTGGCGTGCATCTTTGATGAACTTATTCTATTAGAAGCTATTAGAAGCACTAATTACAATGTGTAATGCATGTATATGCGTGGTTTTGGAATGCTCCATTTCTCTTGTCTTCTAAAAACATATAAAAATATATTTGTGTACTTCATTTATTTCATTTAATTAGATTGATTTAAAATTTGGCATGCGAGTATTAAATTGCGAGATACTCCACTCCAATTTAGCGCTTTACACCTTTTTACATTAAAATCGCTATTTAAAATCCGAGAGGACGTATTTATAATTGTTTTTTTGTATATAAAAATTCATATAAAAATTCAAACGCCGTGCTCGTTTCTCCGTTCATCCGTGACGCTTCTAGGATAAAAAAATAAGATAAACGTTTCTTCAAGTTACAGCTTCTCCCTCTCCTATCTCTACCTCTCCCATCTCTCGCGCGTCATTAATTCATCCAAAAATGTAAATATCTTTTACTTCCGCGTGGATTAAAACGCGCGCACCGCGTGCGTCGCGCGTGCCAATTTTCCGCGTTTCGCCGTGACGACAATGGCAAAGATGACGGCGAAAACACGTGCTCGCCACGTGACGATAGTGCTTTTTCAAACATGTATTTGCAGTCGTCTTACGGCTTTCGGTTAAAAATTGCTTAACGCCGGGTCGCGAATGACTCACCGTATGTGGCTCCTTCAAGGCTCAATCGTGAACGACACCAGGCAATCCTCCGATAATCACTCCAATTTTCACATTACGTCAAGCTATTCGTGAAAAAATCTATTATATTTTTCCATTTTAGTTCATCATACCACGAGTTATCATATCACGATCTCCGAAGCTCACGGAGAGAATTGTTTTTATTTACACCGGGGTGTTAATTCTTAACTGGTGAGACAACCGCTGTTACGTATCGTGATCTTTTTAAAGCAGTTTATCGCTAAGAACCGGTACTGAACTCACTTATCAACGGAGAAAGAGAAGAAGTACGATTATCTTATCTTATGTAAAGAGCATCGAATAATCGACGGTAATTTAGGAAATGAAATTGTTTAATTGCCAAACGGAAAAACACTCGGTTCGCCAAGTTCCGTCTCGAAAATAGAGCCCCCTGATCAGTTAAATCGGTCAGATTAAATTGGTAAGACGAATAAAGATCGATTCGCGAAAAATCGTGATGCGCAAATATAGTCGCGATAGATCCAAGACCGATTAGTCGATTCGCAAGGTGAAGAACAGGATCGGCGATCCAGCGATCCTCGATCGATGATGCGTTCAAGAGTTTGGACGAAGTCACGATTGAAATCACGACGAAGTCTTCGAAAAACCCGTCCCCTAAAGTGTGCGGAGAATATCGCGGATCCGGAGCGGGCGGACCCCGCGATATCTCGCGCTTGGAAGAACGGGGCACGGGAGGAGGGGAGGAGGGGGGGTGCCGCCCCGGTGTGTTTACACTGACACCCGACGGTGATGATGATGGTGATGGTGACGCGTTGCGGCGATCTCGGTCGCGGGGTTCTCGTTTGTGTTTGTTGACCGCGCAACGGCGGTCGAGAGGGCGGCCATCCCGCGCGGATGGTAGTCGAAAGGTCGCGGCCCCGGTCGTTGATATGGTTATAGGGAGCGCACTTTGGACCAAACGATCGCACCGTCTTAAGAGGGATAAAGCGCGACGACGTTAGTCGAGCTCGGTTTAGTGTTGCTCCGGCCGTGCAACGCGACGCATCGTGCAATCCGATCACCCGCTCCTATCACGCGCACATTTTTTTTTTTATTTTTCTTTTTTTTCCTACTTTGTTTAACTCTCTCTCTCTCTCTCTCCTTCCTAACCGGCGAGAGTAAAACCGCCGGTGAGCCATGGAGCCCAGTCAAGAGCGACAGTAAATCGCGCGGCGACGGAAACCGACGTTCTCGCGCACGAGGAGAGAGAGAGAGCGGGCGAAGGGGGCTGTAAGACGTACGCGAAAACTGATTTTTGTCGGAGCAAAACAAAGAGAGGGGGGTGAGAGGAGAGAATAAAAGAGCCGCATCTTTTTCGCCGCCGAGCCTATTATCGTTGAACGCACGTGACACACGACGTTCCGCGCGGGCAAGGACGTCCGCGTCGAGAGACCACGGCCGCCAAACGCTTCGCCACGCGTTTCCCACCTTCACGCTCCCGCGTGAGTCCGCCGCGACTGTACTACACCGACGTCACCATGTCCACAGAACCGGGTAGCTTCACCTCCAACGGGAGCATGATCGTCGTGAGCAACAGGTTGCCGTTTGTGCTAAAGAGGAACGAGATAACCGGTCAGCTGGAACGCAAAGCCAGGTGAGTGTCACTCTTTTCCCTTCTGACCGAAAAGAATGAGAAAGAGGGGGGAGTATTATTATTGCGCGAGACCACGTGCAAAGCGGATGACAGCGTCGCGAGTAGCGAACAGAGAGAGGGGGAGGGAGGGAGGGAGGGAGGGAGAGAGGGGACTTGACTCTGTCACTCCGTCTGCCGCGAATGCGCTCGCACCTCGAGCGACGTGATTACATATGTATATTATACAGCAGTTGCAAAATTATTCTTCTTGGAAAAAAAGGCTTCGACCGACTCTTTTGCGTTCTATTTAATAATAAGCAATTTTGAAAAACTTTGTGATCATCGCGCATATGCCAATCCTAGTCGCACTCTTTTAATTTATGATAAGTGAAGGACAGATGATGCAATAGCAGCTAGATCTCGAAGTCTTACATGCTTATGAATTTTCTCATATAAAGTCTTTTATTACATTCAGTAACTTAAGAATAATCAAAAGACTAAAATCACACAGATGACAGAATTAGAATTCATAAGCATATTATAATCTTCGAGATCTAGCTATCTATCTGTGTCGTGTGTCCCTTGTTTATCTATTTATCAAAACTCTAGTTCATTGGCGACAATTATCTAATTTATCTAATTTTACAACAGGAGACCATGCCATCCGTATGTTTTCTCTGACGACAATTACAGATGAGTTACACTCGAACTGTTCTTTTCGCGTATCGTTACAAAGGCGATGTTAAAGTCTTCGACGTCACTTTCCGTCACTTTGCATCTCGTTTGTCTCTGAGAAGATGTGGCTCAAAGTAATGAACGCGATATATTATGTGAACGCGATTATATCGTCTTCGGAGTTACATCACTCACCGCCGTCGTTATCTCCTATATAGAATATCGCCGAACGTTCCACAAAATACTTCTAGAACATCAAGAAACGATTGCGTATCGTATCTGACGCATGGTCATCTGCGCCGACTCGATTTTTTTCTCGATTGTAACGAGAAACGTGAAAAATCGTGAGAAGCCGCGCCTCCGTGTCAGCATGCAAATTTCACTTCGTGCGAGGTGGAAGAAGAAATATGGCGAACGTGCATATGTCACAAACAGCAAGAGCGATTAGTTCAGTAAAAGTCGCGTCATATCAGAAAATAAACATACAACATAACATACCAAGCGGCATACACACATAGGCGGCAGATACAACGGATCGGTGATATAACGGATCGGGGGTGACAATGCGAATAACAAAGTTCGATTTAAAAGTTTCATGTTTGGAGAATGATAGAGCCTCCGCTGCGGGGTTACCGCTTGGCGAATATTCTGACGATACGAGATCTTACACGCGGTATATAAGACACGCGATATCTGATACGTATGTACGTATATACGTTCGAGAAAATTCGATGCCACGCCGCAAAATCTGTTCGAGAGCGATTAACAAGAGACGAGACGGGACGATTAATCGAATTGAATAAAAAAAAAAAAGAAATAAGAGTGCCAAGCTTCTTCTCTTGTAGTGAGCGTGCACGTTCTTAATCGTATTCAAAATAACTTTTTTCGACAGGCGTAATCTAATCGCGAGTATAAATGGTAACGCTCTTACAAAATGTCACGTGGAATTTGTGTACCCCGGATGGGGGCAGATTCTTGCAATCGTCGTGTCGTCATCCCGATACAGCGAATAGAAAATCGCATGGGAAGTGCAAATCGTCCCAAAGAAAGAAAATCAATCTCGATAGATCCGCGACGATTAATTAGCACTTTCGTCTCGCATCCGTAATTAAGTCATACATTCTTTATCGTGAGAAAAATATTTTTAATCTTTAATATTTTGTCTTTAATTTTCATCACTATAGTAAATATAATTTTATTTCAGAGATAATTATGTATCAAATTAATTGATAATATCCGCTTCCGTTGCAACAGTGGTTTTTCGTAATTTAATTTTCCTTTTTTTTTTTT